GTTAGCTATATGTTTGTGAAAGTAATATGCGAATTATAAATGAATAAATATAATAAATAAAAATATGAAAAATTAAATAATAGTAACAAATATGAATGGAGATTTTTCCGTTTATTTACGGTCCTACATTTTAAACATCCTTCATACAGTGGGTCTGGTTATGTTAGAATTAAACTCTGATTTTAACGGGTTATAATTGAGTGAAAGCCTAGTTACAACACATTGAGTGGTGTCCGTCGTAAAAAAAATGTTGTTTTCTTTAAAGTTTTTAAATTCGAGTAGTTGTATCTATAAGGTGTGTACGTTTCTAATTGATTTTTAAATAAATATTACGTTATAATCACTTCATACTATTTCAAAAGTTAATTAAATTCAAAATAATAATAAAAATTATCATTTATTTAATTTAGAATATTAGGGGGAGTAATCTTTTTTTATTTAAATTTAAATTAATAAAGACTTGAAATGTTATTAGGTCAAACATTTTGGGTTGTCTCTTCCAGTTTCTATGTACATCATGCTTCATTTCTCACAATCATTTTTCTTTAAATAATTTGGGATATAATATAATATTTGTTTAAATTTTTTTTAACATACTAATAATACAAATACACTTTGCAGACGTTACTCAAACTTAAGATTCCTAGAAACCCTTGTTTTTATATAAACCTAAACCTGTATATTTAAAAGGTATATTTCTTTATTTGCAGCAAACAAACCAAACATAAAACATGAATAATTCAAATATCATAATATATATATATATATATATACATCAAATATTTGATTTCTTTTTTTCTTCCATTTAAACAGATTCTCTACGAATTTAAAGTATGACGATAATTGATGAACTATTCTGCTGTGACAGTTACAATAAAGTTAAAAGCGGAATACAAAATATGATACACAAAAATCATAAAAATTAATCGTATCGATAACAATATTGGTTGCAAATAAAAATGTTACCGTTATATGTAAAATGAAACAAAGAAAATATTAACTTTAAGAAATTAGGATTACAGTTGGAGAAGTTATCAATTGTAGTAAGATATCAGATTGCACCAAGAATGTTATAAATGGTAAATGTTATCAATCTTATTAACATATTCGTTTGTGCCTAAAATGTTACCGTAGTTTAGCAAATGAGGGAAGACTTTAGCCACAGTAACAAAATCTGATCGTGATCTGGAATGTTAAACATCTCTGTAATAAATTCGGTTGCTACCAAGAATGTTATTGATTGCTAAGAAAGTAGGTTTCAATCTATAATGTTAAACTTTTCTGTATTCAATCCAATTTTGATTGAAATTGTTAATGGAGTTTTGCAAATGGGGCAATGACTTAGCCACAGTAACAAAAGAAGTTGAAAGACGAAAATATTATGAATTGCTTTAACAAATTCAATTGTGCCCAAGAATGTTATTGTTCGCTAAGAAATTAGGTCGATATCAAGAATGTAAAAAGTTGCTTGAATAAATCTGGTTGTGGACGGAATCGTTATCGAAGTTTATCAAATGGGTAAAAAGAAAATTTACACACGGTAACAAAATAAGTTGAAAGGCGAAAATGTTAAATAAAGTCGATTTCGCTGTAATATGTAGGTGAAGAAGTATTGATATTTATTATGAGTGTATCGAGATAACAAATTGTTGATAGTAGTTCGAAATGTTAAATATCGATAGTTAATCTATGAGTTTCAACACTTTTAAATTTTAAAAAAGCTAATGAAGAGAAGATCGATATTGAAATTATCGATACTTATGCTCTGTTGTTCGATTCTTTTAAAATTGAAATAGTAGATCAAGTTAAGATCAATAGTTAAAATATCAATACTTATGTTTGATGTTTAATACTTTTAAGTTTGAAAAAGTTGACGAAGATGAGATTGAAAGTAAAAATATCGATACTTATACACACCTAATTGAGACTGATCATTTGAGGAAATATTCGAGCTCTCCCACATCCAACGGTCTAGGAAATATATGAAGAAATTCAAAGTCAAATACAAATCAACGACTGAGATTGAAATTAAATACTATATATGAGTTTTTATAGATATTTTAAAAACAATGTAGATAACAATCATCCAACCAATATAAAAAAAGCAAGTCTTGAAATACATTTAGTTTTCACCTACAAATTAATTAAACCGAAGAAAATTGATTATTTTTTACAAACACTTGAACATTTTGCACAATCGCCAATTTTATAAATACTCTCAGATGTTTACGTCTATTTTTAAGAACATATATAAATAAACCAAATAAGTTCATCAATCATGCTCGGATATAAAGTAGTGGAAAACATTTTGTGTTATACCTAAAGCATTGTCGTAAAAAATGAGTTATCGAAACAAAATTGAAAAAGTTATGATACATCTTGTCCCAGTATAACATCTACAACATGAACAAAAGTACATTAAAATTGTACATTAAGGACACTATTGACATAAAAGAATGAGAAATTTTCTTTGCGGCGATCTTGCAGACAGTAAATATTTATTTAAATCTTCATCATCTGTATGTTCTTCCTCTTCATTCCAATTATGTTATAAGAAAACCAAATATAGTCAAATAAATGTTAAAATTTCAAGTTAGAACATCAAGTATTAAATATCTAACTCTTATGTTTGTATTCATCACGCATGTTGGACATTTCCGAACAAATCTCATCAGCATTGACGATATTTCAGCTCGTATTGCTCCGATTTCTTCATTCAAGTGGTCCACTTGAGAATCAAAATATTCCCAGAAATTAACCATGTACTCCATCAATGACTTCATGGTAAATGCCCTCTTCAACCCCACCGTTCTTCATTTGTGGATGCTCGTCACTCTCCATGGTGTCCAATTGATCTTTGTCTTGTGTCACTTCAATGACATATTTCTTATTACTATTTGCAGTCCAACCGATTTTTTTTATAAATTCGTATCCGCATTTATAGGTGGAATGAATGTCAATCTTTCAGGATAAACTCTGGGTCGTCAAAAGAAACATCCAGTTGAATTTTTTTTATAGTTGTTATCTTCAGTTGTATTAAAAATTTGATGCAACATGTTAAAGTATTATTTTTTAAAAATAACCCTAAGTTATTTTTTTCAAATTAGATATCATCTCTTTTCACCGCTATTTTTATCATTGTTTGAAGGTTCATCGGTTGAAAAGATCATCAAACTATTTATATTTCTTTCATTTAGTTCAAATTCTTCTAAAAATTCTATAATTTTGAGAAAATATCAAAGATTTAAAGTTCGAAAAATTGTATTTCTTGCTCTAATCAATGTAAATTTCAATCAAAATAACATGATCATATGGGTATCATGTTAAAAAAAGGAAAAATAAAATAGCCTATACGGCCTCTCCAAGCTTACATCTAGAACCCAATTTTGCACCATCTCAACCTACATGAATTTAATAGAAACAAACTATCATGATTTACAATTTTGCATGCTATATTTGGTATCACCTCTAGCTGTACCATCTTGAGATCATACGACAAAATGACCCTAAACTATTAATAGACCACAAAAGCACTAATGAATGAATTGGTAATTACCCCAAGCCTCGTTTAGATGAAGTTTAATGTGGCATGTTCGAGGTTGACGTTGAGGGCCATTGGGATTCTTCTACCTATGACCCTGTCCTACATAGAGAATATGAGATATGACAAATTGATTCTCATACTAGAGAATCATAAAAGAAGTGTGAACCGAAAAATATACATCATGAAGAAAAATAATCATAAAAAAAGAAGTGCGTACAGATAATTGTACACCATGAAGAAAGGCGCTCATAAAGTTTGACACCCACTCCTCTTATTGAAAACATCTAATTAACATACAATCATATGTACTAGTTTATGAGCAATTAATACTTATGAAACTTAATATTGGTATCCCCTTAAAACCAATTAACAACATCCTTATAATAATGTTGGAGTATGAGAAAACGTTTGACTTGTTTGATGAAAGCTGTTTGCTATGATCACTCAATTAGTTACTCAAAATTAAAGAAAACATGTAAAAAAGAAAGGGAAAAGATCAATAATATTCCTTTCCTATCAAATCATTACTTGTTTCCTTTTCTTCCTTTCTAGCATTTAAATTTTGCTAGAAAATCATCGAATATAATGGAATCAACATCTAAAGTTCAAGCTCATCTTCATTACATCTTCGCCATTGACCAACTAATGGTGTTGATTTTGAGATATATGATTCCTACATACCTAAGGAAGGTTTATACCATTCGGATCTTCAAGATGTCGCTTTGAGGTCTATTAAAGTTAATCAAATTTGAATTTGTAATACTCTCAACTCGGTCTAGTCGGGGTAAGTGATGCTACATGTCACCACTCGTGTTATTATCTGATTGAAGAATTAAATTTATTAAATTAAATTAAGATTAAAAAATTTATTAAATGTGTAAGTAATGAGAACCAAATCTATAAATATACAAAATTTTAACTATCATATCAACTCATGTGTCAAATATTAACCACATGTGGCCTAATTGAAACAATTAAATTGTTAAATAGTTTGTTTTACAAAATTAAAAAAAAATAGTGGTCAAAATGAAAGGGATAATAGTTAGTGGTCATAGATATAGTTTACCCTTAAAATGATTACAAAATTATAATTTATATAATTAATAATTTTAATATATTTAAAGAAAAAACATAATTTAAGGACTAAAGAAAGATTAAGGCCAAATTCTTTAAAGTGCATATTCTATCTCCCTGACCTGCTTTACTTTTTTATCTGTCAGACTGGGGCCCACTCATCCAAATTCTTTGTGCATGTTCTCATTCGCCTTCAAGTCCAATCATGAGATCAAAATATTAAAGATAAACAAAATAAAATTCCCCCTTTCATCGGCTTCTACTCTGTTTCAAAGTTCAAAAATCAACACATAGAAAATAATAATAAAAAGTAAATTATTATTATTTTTGGATAATTTTTTTAATTTTTTTTGGATAATTAAGTAAATTATTATTACTTTATTCAAATCTTCGATTTTTATCGAAACCTCACCGGAGATGGCCACACCACCATCTCCATCACCGACTTCGCTGCCTTCCTCTCCCAACACTACTTCTCCTTCGCCGCCTCCAGTTTCTAATAATACCGCTCCCGTAGCTGATCCTCCGAATGGTACGTTTGTAAATTTGCTACCGCCGCCCAGTGAGGGCTTACCGCGTGGGACATTAGCGGGACTCATAGTAGGGGTAGGGCTGGGTGCGCTAATTGTGTTAATTGGAGTGGGCATCTTCGTATTTTTCTACAGGAGGAGAAACAAGAAGCTTGCTCACAATTATACTGGAGCTCCTACAAGAGGTCTCTCCTTTTTTTCTTTTTTTCTTTAATTATCAAAAAAGTACTCGCACTTAATACGGTTGATAGTATGACTCTATTTAATCTCTTAAGTATGGCTTATATTAATTCTATATTTTTTGAAGTACCATTTGTTGCAGTTTGCCTAAAAAATGTGACTAATTTTTTAATATATATATATATATGATTCCAGGTTTATTTTTTAAAGTGTTTTTTTGTCTATATTGTATTTTACTATATTTAAATCATGTGAGAACTATATTTATCTACATTTTGTCAACTTTGTATTATCTATTTAACTATTTGTGTTTGGGGTATAATAATGTGTTTTTTTTGTTAAGGAAAAAAGGGAAATTAGATATATATATATATATATATATATTGTAACAACCCTAAAAATTGGAAAATAAAAAAATTAATTAAGTATAAATTTGAGGATTAAATTGAAAGTTTTTAAAATTTGTGGCCTATCCTTAAATTTACCCTTATAGTATCGGCAGAAATTTGGTTATATATGCGTGCTCAAATTACCTTCCCCAACGCTAACTTCCAAACCCGATCCTGACGTCGTCTGACCTCTGATCGTCGCTTTGAAACCACCATCGTGTTCGTCATCGAGCGATGAACAAAACCCTTAAATCAATTAGAGTGAAACGCTGCCAAACGTCGTGAATTTCAAGTCAAAGTCTCGACGTTTTTTTAACACCACCTCCGAGAAAATCTTAAATTCATCGCCGATCGTTGCTCCGTTTTCGACACCTCCTGCACCATCGTGTTCCTTGTGTCGTTTCGAGTTCGCTGGTGTCCTCCTTGTCTCCGGCGGCGGCGGCGCGTGAGGAGGTGAAGCGGTCAAAGTTTCAGATTTATTAAAATCGAGCTCTCCACCGTTCAAAATTGTGAACCGAGCTTTGTAAGTACTTAAAATCGCTTAAAATAATTTTTAGAAATTTTTTTGTGATTTTAGAACCCTGAAAATGACAGCACGCGACCCCACGCCCTGCCACTGCGCGTGGGGGAGCTCCGAATGTTGGTTTAATGCAGTTTGACCGACCCGACCCGTTAACCCGGGTGCTAGTTTTGTAAATAATTTTAAAATGGTGCCTACTATGTAATTAATTTCTGTTAGGGTGATATTTGTGTAAAACCGTTGATGTTGATCGTTGACCGTCGTTGACCACCGTTGACCGACCATTAAACGGCCGTTGACTTTTTCCGGGTATACCTATTTTGACATTTTTCGACGTCATGAATCCGTTTTTGGGGCATGTTTCTCCAAATTCAAACCCGAAAGCCTCCAAATTGTCAGTTAAACTCGTTGACTTTGACCAAAAATTCAAATTTTCAAAAGGTCACATTTTATGTTTTTTGACGTCCTGAATCTGATTCCGAAATCCGTTTTGCCAAATTCTGACCCGAAATCCCCAAATCTAGCTTGTTAACCCAAAAATGCTTAGTATTTTAGCATTCTTTATTATTTAATTGAGATATGATTATGGAATTGATTCAGTAAGATATTTTATGAAGTCGTGTTTCACTTGAGCGAGGAGCAGTTAGGTCTGGTGTTGTCAGATCAGTCCAAACCACGTACTACGAGAATTACCCGTAGGTTTCCGTAAATTATTTAAATAAATATTACGATTATTTATATTAGGATTCCAATATGGATTTTTCCAATTCGTAGGATCTAGCGCTGCAGCAGAGCGTCATCGACAGACCTAGTAGTAGGCTTCCCTATCCGATTTCTCAGACTGTTACAGGTGTGTTTCATGACAATGTTATTTTACTGTTTTAAAAATATTATTTGAATTGTTTCAGATTGGTGATAATTCAGAATATTGTTATGACGTGATACATGATACCTGATTTCTGAATACTGGTTACCCGACATCTGATTACTGTATTTCTGTATATGATTTTCAAGCATGAAACATTTTCATGTTTTAATGGATTAATCACAATTCTCACTCGAATACATACTTGTTTATTATTTTCATTGGGGGAAAATATTGTTGGAGGAAGAATACTTGCAGGCTCCTCGGTTTTTTGCTCAGGGTCTTACTGGACGTGATGAGGTGTATGGTTCTGGGGAACCTACACATTTCGTTCGTGACGGATGGGGATAGTGTTCATATTTTAAAATAAAACAAACATGTTTGATAAACTAATTTTACTGGAATATTTTATTAGTATGTTTTTATACACTGTTTGGAACACACTGGGCTTTTTAGCTCATTCTGTAAATTTTAAGTTTTTTCAAATAACAGCAGACCGTAAGCTAGTAGATTTGGCATCAGGGGAGATCAACTACTTTATTTTGTACGAATATATATCTCTATATGCTTTCAGTTGTATTTGGTGACATGTATTTTTCTATCGTATTTGATAAAATCGTATTATTAATATTTTGTTCCGTATTATCTCTAATGTTTCATAATATGTTTTATAAGATGTTTTTAAATATAAAAAGAAACTCTGAATGGGATATGTGACCGTTTAGGTTTGGGTCTAGCGTTTAGGCCGAGTCTTGGGAGTTACATATATATATATATATATATATATTTGTTTAATATGGTGAATCTTGAGTTCCAGTATTTTATAGTATTATTTCATTGGGATTACTTTGAAACATTGATTTTTGGTTTTCGTTGATTTACGTTGTATATAAGAGCTTATATGCTTACGAGCTAGATCTGCATTTTTGGTGCCTTGATGGTATATGGTAAGCCATAGTTTTCTTTTGGAGTTAACTTGAACCAATTGAAAAAGAATACCTAAGGTATGCAACTTGAATGAGTTATTTTATTAAGGATTTAAATCTGTCATGAATTTGTAAGCTATTGTATTCTTTTCTTTTTTTAATTAAGACGCAGCCTGCAGGTATCAGTTTTATTGCTTTTATCATTGTGGTCATTTTCAATGTTTCCCTACTAATTTGCTTTCTTAAACCATTTATGAAGGAAATATGCATGTCCATACATGCGTACAAGAACGTCCATGCATGCATTTGCTAGTACACAAACACATGTATATCTGGGAAAGGGAGGAGTTGACACTTCAATAACTTTATGTTTGGTTAGCAACAATTATCATATTGAAGATTGTTTATGTGTTTTATTTTCATTTGGTTAAGGCATTCGTCTGTTTCATTCTTATATGATATGCTTTAGTTGGACAATTATCATTTATGGTTATAGTCTAATGTGGAATAAAAGAAACCAATGGTTTCAAAGTAAAACAGAATTGAAACTGATCTTGCATTTTGTTATACATCCAGTTGATCCACAACATTGGCAGCAGAATCTCGTTCCGTCAAAACCTACTCCTTCACCAGAAATCACTCCACATCTTTATAATTCTGTTGAGCCTCCATCAACGAGTACCGGTTTGGGCTCAGATAAACCAACAAACCCATCACCTTCCCCAGGAGTGCCCATGGGACATTCATTGGGCACATTTACTTATGAAGATTTAGCATTGGCAACTGATAATTTCTCTGATTCTAACCTCATTGGTCAAGGAGGTTTTGGTTACGTCCACAAGGGAGTGTTAAAGGATGGGAAAGTAGTTGCAATTAAGCAGTTAAAAGCTGGAAGTGGACAGGGTGAGCGTGAGTTTCAAGCAGAAGTTGACATCATTAGCCGTGTTCATCATAAACATCTTGTTTCACTAGTTGGATACTGCATAGTTGGTGTAAGGTGGTTGCTTGTTTACGACTTTGTCCCAAACAACTCGTTAGAATTTCATTTACATGGTGAGTCATTGAGACATTTTGGTGGTTAAATGCCTCTTACACCCCACTCTACCCACCTAACTGGCTATGAGAAGATGAACGTTGCCTAGCTGAACAAAAGAAAAAAATGATATTGGGGTGCTAATCATAAATTTTATTTTCTTCTTGTTTCAAGAACTTGCTTATTTTACTGATGTCATCTCTCTTTTTGAAAATTTTGCAAAGTTGCTAATACATGTTCCTCATATTTTTGTTTTCCTTCTATATGGATGATTTAAGGGCTTTTGAATATCCTAATTCAAATGGTTTTTAATACCCTGTGTTCTGGATCAAAGTCTGTGGTTTAGTCATGAAATATAAGATTCCATAAAATGGTGAAAGTACAATAAATTTATTGTACATGAAGGTGGAAAATTGTGTTCCTATTTTCTAGCTTTGTTCAGGATTGTGCTTAGCAGCAAAAGTAACAAACGATGGAGCTTGTATGTGTTTAGCTCTAGGAATGAGTATACTTGATATAGATTTTGAAAATTGAAAAATTGGAAAAAAATTACGTATTTGAACAATAGAGATCTTGCATATGATGGATAATAAATAGGTAATTTGTATACTATCGAGTGAAACAAATAGTGCATTGTATAATCATTATACTGTCTTGGTCTTGTGCAGGCATAGTGAACAGAAGTATAAATTTGGGATTTCAACTTAGATTTAGGATGTACAACTGTATCTGCATTATCTTAACTTTGATGAAACTTGACATCCAGGAGAAGAGAGGTCAGTTATGAACTGGTCAACCAGAATGAAAATTGCTCTGGGTGCAGCCAAAGGATTGGCATATTTGCACGAGGACTGTAAGGATGCTCTTACTTTTCTACTTTAATTTGTGAAATTCAAGCACTTTCTTATTTCTAACAGTTTATACTTTCTTCACTAAACATGCATATATAATTAGGTAAGCCAAAGATCATACATCGGGATATCAAGGCAGCTAATATTCTTCCTGATGAAAGCTTTGAGGCAAGGGTATGGCTTCAATTTCCAAGTTGAGTGCTATTTCTATAGCCACATGATTGATTTCTTCCTTTTCCTCTTGAGGCCGAGAACAAACCTTAGTGCATATACGTTTCTCGATGTTATATTAGCTCTTTGGATGTTTCTTGGGAAAAATAAAGCTGTTGATTTAGTTTTGGCATGACACTTGAATGAGAAACTCATCCTTTAGACAATGAATAGAAAAGGAATTTGATCATAAGACTGCTTCAAGATACTTCATCTTAAAGTTTGATGAAAACATGTTCTGAGTGTATTGATGTAAAGAAAATTTATTTTTGATTTGAATGGTCCAAACTCCGTGCTTCTTTTTCAAAGCAAGCATTTCACTCCCTTGCATGTGTGTTTTTCCAGGTTGCAGATTTTGGACTCGCAAAATCTTCTTTAGATACTGATACTCATGTATCCACTCGAGTGATGGGAACTTTTGGGTAATAAATGTATTTTCCCTTATTTCCTCGGCATTTGATTTTGTTGCGCTACAGAAATTATGGCTCAGTCCATTCTAGCTTGCAGTATAGTTTCCTTTTATATTTAGTCGGTAAAAATCATATTCATCCTTCCTCACAAGAATGTATGCACGCAGTTACATGGCTCCGGAGTATGCCTCCAGTGGGAAGCTTACTGAGAAGTCGGATGTTTTCTCCTTTGGGGTTGTGCTTCTGGAGTTGATTACCGGACGCCGTCCCGTTGATAAGACTCAGCCATTCGTTGATGATAGCATAGTTGATTGGGTCTGTACTCTTTTTATCAGTCTTATTCCATTAATGTGTGCATATATATAATCTGTTCAATCATAAAAGGTTTCCCATTTCAAGTATTTTTAATGTTAAAAGGACGATCTTTTCATTTCAATTTTTTAAAACAAAAGATTCAGGCCCTACTAGAGACACGGACATGCAAACACTCAATCTTCTTTAACAAACTTTTAGAAGTAATTCTTAGTGCTTGACTAGCATGGGATGAATAACAGATCCCTTTAATTGAATTCTAGGCATGGCCTTTTCTCTCGCAAGCTTTGGAACATGGAAATTTTGATGCATTTGTGGATTCAAGGTTAAAGGAATATGATTCCAATGAAATGACCCGAATGATTGCTTGTGCTGCTGCCTATGTTCGTCATTCAGCAAGGAGTCGCCCACGGATGAGCCAGGTTCTTTGACTAACTGCTTAAAATTAAGTTTTTAGTCCTCAATCAACACTTTTTTTTTCATTTTTTAAATTTAGGTAAATGCTCTAGAGTTGTCAGTTTTTCTGAACCATGGTAACATGTTGCCGCTAGCAAAAGTTAAATAATCTGTATTTATTATTGTTCAGTAACCTCTTTTAATTCTAGGTATATTTTAATCCTTTGGGGACGATTTCACCTTTTAATTTATAGCAGCTACATACTTGTTCAATGGTGTTCTACTTAGACACTGGTGTGAAAGATATGCGTGTCTGAGATGAGAATGTGCAAGCTTTTTTAAAGCTTTTTGAGTATTTGTAGTGTTGGAGGGTCATATCCCCATACTTGTATGAAAACATGTCTGAGATGAGTGTTGAACACGGTTACTTCCGGAAAAAGAAAAATGGGTTTAACATTTGAAAATCCATGAACCTGGACTAAACACTGGCATGTAACCACCTTTCTATCTCTTAACACAGGTAGTTCGAGCCCTGGAAGGAAATATTTCTCTGGATGATTTGAACGAGGGAATCACTCCCGGGCACAGCAGAGCGTTCGGTTCCTTCGAAAGTTCTGACTACAGCTCAATCCAATTCAAGGAAGACATGAAGAAGTTCAGGAAGATGGCATTGGAAAGCCAAGAGCTTGCTAGCAGTGAATACAGTGCAGTCGCCAGTGAGTATGGTATTAACCCATCTAGCTCCAGCACTGAAGGCCAACAAAGTACCCAAATCGAAACATCGGAAGCCAAGAAAGAAACCAAAGATGTAAGTGGAAGCTCGTAACCATATCTGCAGTGGAATTTGCTAGAAAAACATTAAAAATTCTTTTGCCAGCCGGCTTTTTATTCATTATTGCCTCATTGCTACTAGGGGGAACCACCTCTAAAGCAAAATGGCAGCTATGGTAGACTGGTAGCAATGATGGAATCTATATTTGGTTTAGGTAGTTTGGTGGATTTTGTCAATTCCATCTATCTAGAAGTAATATTTGATTGTTTTAGAGTTCTAAAAATCTCTATTGCGTGTATATTTAATGTAGTGTGCGGCTAGAAAGTTCAGTGTTGTATCAAATTCTATAGAGGATCATCATTGAAATTGCAATATTGCTTCACTATAGACTAATGTTTTTACCTCGCAGCCCTATTCGTCTGGTTTGATCTGGAAATGGATTTTGCAAATTCTATCTAAGATAATGGCAAACATCCCAAAGGTTGGTGAAAAAAGATGAATTCTATTTACTTTACAAGCGTATGATGAATTTTGCAGAGTAAGTACTGAATTTCATCCTTAAAGGTACAAGAGGCGTCTTATTCACCAAATGTAAGTAAAATTATTGGAATGTAATATTATTTGATATATTTCGTTTTAAATAAGTTAAACTTTCAATATTTAGTTGCAATAAATATTTACATGAAATTCATAAAACTATTTTAATCGTTAAATTATCTAATTTTTGAGTAGAAATATATTTAATATGATCAATATATCAAACTTATATTTTTGTAAGTATTGTATTATTTATATAGAATATGGTATAATATAAAAAAGGTAAAACTACACAAATGATCACTAATGTTTGGACAAGTTTTCATTTTTTCCATTGAAGTTTAAAAAATAACAAATTGATCGCTAATATTATCAATTTATAACAAATTGGTTATCCATTGTTAACAATCATTATATTTATATCTTTTTGAGTATTTTCATATTTAAAATTTAAAATATTTTTTATTTTATTTTAAAAAAATAAATATTCTATGAACTTTTAAAAAATTCAATTTGACCCTCGAACAAGACCCAAAAAACAATTTAGCTCATCTATTATATTATCAACCACCGTGGACTGCCACGTCAACATCGTGAATTGTTGTGTCAATACCATAACAATTAACGACGAAAAAGATTGGCCAAAGGGTCATATTTAATTTATTTTCTGAGTTGGAGGGCCCCGTTAGTGAAAAATAATACGAATGCTACATTGACTCTCTCTTTTTAAATTACAGGGCTCTACTTTTTAATATAAAAAAGTTAAAGGACCTCAAATACCTTTTTACCAATTATATATAAACATTTTCTTGCTCCTCTTATATAATTATACAGTCAAAAAGAAATTTAAATTATAGTGTCATTCTTAAAGAAATAATTTAATATTTCCTTAAGTGGTATTAAATTATTTTTAATATTTTTTATTAAATTATTAAAAAAATTAAATTTTTGGGTGTTAAATCACTAAGCTGGTTTCTACTAGTGGAAAAAAAGAATAATGCAATAAAATAATCTTAACGTTTGACAGTATTGTCAAATTTGTCTGTATTTTCAAATTTGTCTGTACTGTTTTTTTTTGAACATTTGACCCCTAAACGTTTCATTTTGGGTCAAAAAGCACCTTCGTTGGATGGAAACCGTTAGTCAACTAACGGTCAACGAATGGTGCTGACCAAGCAAGAACACACGGACCCAGATGCTGATGTGGTGTGTCTAGGTCATGATAGATGATAACGCGGCACTACCACGTCAAATTTTTAAATAAAAATTAAAATATTATTCTTAATATTTATATATTTTTGTCCAATAAGATGATGACACATGTCAACATCATATTGATTTAAATATAAATCAAACAAACATGATTTTGTGGGGAGTTGTGTAACATCCCAATGAGTCAGTGACCAAAATGTAAGAATTATAAACTCAGTGGGTGAATTAGAATAATTTGAAAATTTAAGGATTTATGGTGGAATTTTTGTGTAGGGCTTGATGGAAATTTTGATATATTGGAGAGGGCAATATGGTCTTTTCATGATAAAGGATAATTATCTCCTATATTTAGGGGTTAAACACGTGGAATAGAGGTTCTAAAAGCTTTTCCTTCTTCTTTTTGCCGTGCACCTCTCCCTACCAAGGTAAGATTATGAAATCTTAGTTTTCCTTTAATCTTTGGTTTGGTATTGGAAGTTGGGGTATTATATAAGCATAAGGAAAGCTTATATAGGATTAAAACAACAAGATGAGTGTTTTAGAGATGAATTGGTAAAATGAGTTTAGAAATGAAATTTTGATTTGGAGTAGTTTTTGAAGTTTTAATGAGATAATTGACTTGTCAAGGATTAAACTTAAGAGTTAGGAGTGTTATATATGACTATGAACATGTTTGAAAATTTAGTTTGATTTTGATATTCAAGTGTTCAAACGGGAATTGGGATGATTAGGAGTAGCAAATGAAGACTAATTGGAGTAGAAGTATAAGAGTGCGTTTTAAGGCTTATGGAATGGTGATATAAGAGATTTAGGAAGGTTTTTAGGTGAATTTCGAAGTAAAAATGGCCATTCTGAGCTTCGAGTATCGGTACCGTTAGAATAGTACAATACTTCAAGGGTTAAATATGTGTATTTCTTAAGGGTAGTATCGATACCCGTTGAGGAGGGTATCGATACTCGTTGAGGAGAGTATCGATACTGAGAGGGTAGTATCGATACCAGGGGATGGTATCGATACCACTTTTAAGAAGCGATTACAGAATGCTAATTCGATATCGGTACCTTGAGGAGATATCAATACCCTTGAAGGGAAGTATCGGTACTGGAAGGGTAGTACCGATACTTCTAGGCATAAAATGGAAAGTAACAGTTTCTTGCATCATAAGTTATTCTGATAGGTTAGAACAATTCGAAGAACGATATTGATTTTCGATTGTTTTGTGTAGTGATTGATCGTAATCAACTTCTGACATCTCGACATATTAAGTATCAATTCAAAAGGTGTTAAGGATTTGGATTAGAACTTCCGTGAGGCAAAGGTGAGTGCAATTTCTCAGTTTTGCAACAGAATTGAGGAAGACTTGAGATAAGCCAACCTCAGTGTTTTCGATCGAAAACTTTATAATTTCTTTTATGTTATATTTCAATGTTTTATTCAAGTTATATTATACAAGTTACGTTTTATGATCATATGATTATGGAAATGTGAACTTTGAACAAGTGAATGTGAATTTTGAACCAGTGAATGTGAACATACTCTATGAGAGATAAACTATGTGAATAAGAAACACTTCAAATAATGATTGAACATAATTATGTGATTAATAGCCCAAAGTATATGTATGAGGATTAGAGATACAGTTGGCATGCCAAGAGTCAAGGGTTTTATGTGGTCCTTCGGGACAAATATGTGGCACTTCGGTGCAAAATTATATGGTCCTTTGGGACAAATATGTGGTACTTCGGGACAAATATGTGGTACTTCGAGACAAATTGTGGCACTTCGGGACAATTATGTGGCACTTCGGTGCAAATTACGAACTGTTGTGACAACATTAGTGCACAACCTCATAGTACTCAAATACCTAGAGTTCTCAGTAGTATACATTGGGCATTTGAAACCAAGTTAAATAAAGTGAAATATTGATAGGGAAGCGGTGGCGGATTGATGAACGTTGCTCTTGTTGAAGAATCAAACCTAGAAAGTTCTAGACTCAATGAAGAACAATGGGGAACGAATAGGGGAAGGTGGCGGTAGCAAGTAGGGTTCTTAGAGTTTATTTTAAGTGATGGAAACAAGGTAAGAAACAAGATTAAAACAAGATAGAGAAAAGATAAAGGAATTGCAAATAAAATAAGATAACCAAGAAATCAAAAGATCTCCCTTATTAAGGTGAACGGTAAAGATGATTGATGGTGTGGATGGATATGTGGAAAATCGATGGATAATGTCCTATCGAGCCCTCCTAGTCGCAATGAAAAGGTAAACACGATAATATGGCTCTAACCAACCCTCCTAGTAGCGATGAAAAGGTAAATTGGAGTGTGAAGATTAATCTCCCTCACAAGAACTTGAAAGAACTCAAGGAGAAGAAGCTTCGAAGGCACAAGGCAATCAGTACTTGCAAAAATGAACTCTCGTTGTATTATTAATCAAAGAAATCTTGAATTACAAAGTTGAATGAAGCCTCCTTTATATAGAGGTTGAGTTCTAAAGGTCTTAGATAACTAATGAATAAAATAATAATAAACTAAACATGTCTTAACTTTAATTCCTAATAAAATAATAATAACTAAAGATAATATTTTAACCCAACCTTAATTCCAAATAAAATAATAAATCTAATCCTAAAATATAATGCATCATCCTATATTAAGTTATATTACAAATAATCAATAAAAATATTGAAAATTCGTAATATTTACAAAATCCCGTATTAATCCCGTATAAGATTTTCTGCATGCACCGTCTTCAGTAAAATTGCTATATCTTGAGTTCCCGATATCGGATTGATGCGATTCAAGAACCGTTAGAAAGATAAGGGACAGATGGTTGTATCTACAGAAGACATATTGACCAAATAAGATCAGGATCCCATTCAAAAAGTCGTCTCAAGTATGCTGTTGTTCTGATCTTCTTTTCCAAAGCTTGGACGAGTGGATCATTTGGAAGAGTTATTACTTCTTCCTTTGATGTGAACCTTGTGATGCATGTATCATCCTCCCTTTCGTCAAAAAGATTCGACCTCGAATCTGAAACATTAAAGGGAGCAACATTAGAATAGTTTAATAATTCATTCACATTATGCTTACCGAATAGATATGCTTTGAATCTTCGAGACTTTGTTCTTCTAATAGGTTCGAGTAGAAACATTAGTCCAAAGAAGCATGTATTATGGACTCTGGTGCATGTATGATTCCCCCACTCCTCAAAAGGATTCGTCCTCGAATCTGAAAATCCAAAAGAAATAGATTTAGATGTGTTGAAAGAAAAACTTATGAAACATTTACCAGGATCAATGTGATGTGTCTTTATGCGTTTTAGTCGAGGTTTCTTCTTTGTAGGAACTGATTTCTTGTAGTCTTGAAATCCTATTTTGCATACAAGTCTTGTAATCTGAAGTTTTGGTTGAATTTCAACATGGCGCCGGCCACTGTTGGCTTTCTGTATGATTATTTCAGATAATTTCTCCATGGTTTTATTCATGTGCGGCGAGAATGAGTGTTTAAAAACCATGTCAACTGGTTTGTTAAAGTAATCTCTTAAGTCTCCTAAGTGTGGTTCATGAATTAATGATTCCCAGGAGGAGATTTGTGGACTGTAGAACCTGTTTAGTTGGCAAGGAAACTCGTATACA